TTAGTTTTGACCATAGACACCTCTGTGGGAAGCACAACCAACAGAGCAGGTATCCAGATTTGATACTGCAGGATAGAACAGAATACAAGGTACTCACAAGTTCTTTCTGAATTGCTTGTATTTTGTCTCTTGCCAATTCTACTTGTGGTTTCTTTCCGATAATGATAATCACATCACTATCACTATCCTCGCTTGGTATTTCAATTCGTGTGTCAGTTTCGTCTTTGATCTGCCAACACAGACATACAACAATAAGTCAATGACATAGACCAAGTTTGTATTAATATTAGACGATACAAGTATAAAAAAAAAAAGGTTTAACATATGCCTGAAAATGATGAAATGTTTCAATTCTAAGTCTTCTTAGAAGAAAATGACCACTAATACCAATTCAATTGTGACAGCAGTTTTCAAAAACTTGTGATATGTATTCATTACAAACTACCAAGAGTGATTTTAACAAAAACCATGGTTGATAATAGGATTTTAACAATAGGACAGATTAAACAAATGTTCACATGTTGCAGTCTTTAATAATCAAAATTAGCAACATTCAGACTTGTGAACTCAGTCAAAGTTTTAGTTCATTATGCACAAATATTTCACATCATAGCCCCAAGACTACAAAGCTTTGGAATGATGCAAATGCAACCTAAAGCATCAATAATCAGCATTCAGCAATGAAATCATGTTGAGAGTCAAACCAACCAGGTTTTACATACCTTGCTAATAGTAGCTCCACCTTTACCAATAATATTTTTATGGAATTTCTTGAAAATAGGTATCTCCACTTTATAATTATTGGCGACCATCTCAGTGTTCAGCTGGTGTAGAAACCTGTAACACTTATCAACGTCTTGTCTGGGTCCACGTAATGTCACAACATCCGACTTCCTACCAGGGTCAGGAAAAGTGATGCTAACCTATCAAAACAATGACAGCAACAATACATTTATATAAATTGATACTTGTGACATAAATACTTAGAACATTGTACTTGACATGGTCACTAGGAATAGGAGGTCCTTTGTACATTTTTTTTTTTCTTGAAGTCGCAATTCAAAAATTGCCCACCTGAAATGCTTGTAGAAAATGTTTGAATAGACTTAACTTTAAGTGATGGAATTTTAATGAGTGGCTTACTTGATTGAATTTGTCTCTGATGTCACGGATATTGTTCCCTTGAGTTCCAATCATTGTTCTGTGAAAACGCTGTTCAATCACTATATCTTTGGTCTTTTCATTTTCCATTTTGCGTACCATTTCTAGTAGTTCATTCTTTGCCTTAGTAACCCCCTCAGGACTGCCTTCGATGCGGATACATCTACTCTGTTTTTCCTCACCTGGTATGTGGATGGACACGCCCGTCTCTTCTTTGATACGAGAAACTGAAGAAAAAAAACATTACAACCTTGCGAGAGAATCTAGATTAAATGAATGGATGGATGAATGATACAAACTAATAATGAACAATCTTTTCTTTGAATGGCAAAAGGAAGTATAAACGTTCTGAAACAATGCAATAATATATCTAAATATTTTGCATAAAAAATACTGGCTAAAATT